AAGAAATGAAACGAGAGAAAATATTGGTTAAAATTAGTGAAAAATTAACCTTGTGTGATAGTAAGCCAATCAGCTAGCGCGCGGAATTTTTATTTAAAAGTTTTTTTAGACTTTACCTTCCTGCTTTAGTAATGATCATTTCTGTACCAAGATCATAAAATCTTTGCCACAACTCGCTCATTTGGAGTTCAACACATGCTTCGCTATTTGATTCTTCAGGTTCTGGGACTGAAGGGACACGACTTTGCATCGCTTGAAGACTGCCTAGTGATTGGCTGCTCAGGTCACGTGTGCAATCTAGAACCACAAAACAGATGGTTAAAAAGTGGACCTTTTAATACCTTTATGTAGAACGATAAGACGAAGCCAGCTCTCAGCCATTCAATAAACAGGAGTGGACAGCTTTTAAAAGACTCAGAAACTATTTTAGATTAAAACCTTCTACTTTTGCGACTTTTTTACATACTTATAGAAAGAAATAAAGAAAAAGAATGGAAGGAAAGAAGGGAAATGGAAAAAATCGCTGGAGCAAATTTTCAAGGCTCATAAACTTGGCAAATAGTTCTGTCACTGATCTACTTTCGTTATTCGACCTTAAAAGACTTTAGTGGTTAAGTGACTACACAAAAAGTTTCCTAATGGAGTTTTCTTTCCCTTTTAGAAACAGTTTAGCCTGAACATGCCTAGCCGCGATAAAACTGAGTAAATAGTTAAGTTCCGGCGTCACACTACAAATGTTTTAAATATCTGTAAAAATATTTTGACAGCAGCTCGAAAGCGAAATACTTTAATTCTTCCTAATTTCTTGGTATATGAAACATAGTGATTCTAAACTTGGAAAYCTAAACTACATCAAATTTGCTYCATGACAGTTGTAATGTTTTCAGTTCTGGAGTCCGCAACCCGGAATTCCGAGGTTCATCGCCAAAAATAGATATTTTTAAATACTTTTTTGTAAAAAAGCTATTTCGGGAAAGTGTAWTGAGCTGGAAGATAGATAGTAGTGTGTTTTGAACAGTTTGCCCTTTTCTCGATAAAAGTTTTTATACTTAGCCTGCGCTATTCAAATCAAAACGAATGACCGAATGGTCGGACAGGGAGGTATTTTATTCCTTATCTATATATTAAAGTTTTGAGTTCGCGGCCAATTAAAGACTTGTTGTGCAATCCGAAATGACAAGTTAACTTATCACAAAGTGAAACAATGATTCAGTGTCAAACTTTGTCGAGATCATGTTCGTCCATAATTACAAAACATCGAATGATTATCGTGTTGGCGCCATGCAATCGATAACACTAACAGTGAAAGTTTCAAGTCAAGAATTATCATTAAAAAACGTTATACAATTTCTTAAAAAACAAGGAAAACAACATAAAAATTGAGCTAATGTGCATCCAATCTTAACCGCAACAWTWAGAAAGTGTCTTTCTTTGCTTGTGCTGTGATTTCGGATCGGCTTTTGAACGATTGTAGTCGGTTTGTCGGATGKCAATCTGATCTCCATTGCATGAAGGATTAAGTTGGTGAAATGAGTATTATACATCTTGAAACAGTGGTTACAGCTCGGATTAGTCTTGCCGGCTGACTGTGATAGCACTGATAACTAAAATAGCCAGTAGTTGAATAAAGAAATCCGGCACAAGAACGAACAAAAAATGTCTTCGTGCTTCCCATGTGCTTTGCAAAGCACGTCACAACTTAGATGGCGCGCGCGCGTTAAAMATAAACTTTGCTATCCTTCGTTTAAGAAACTATAAAGAAATTTGAGAGAGTTTAAAAGAACTACATGAACAGTACTGTCTGTAATTATAAGTAGCTTATACACTATTAATAACGCTTAAATATAACAGTAAGCAGGCGTAAAGGAAACAGTAAGCAGGCGTAAAGGACCAAGAAAATCTTTGAGCTTTGTTTAAAATAGCTACAGCCAAAACCTACTCTGTTAACAAATCAAGCGCAAGCACTTTTACTTAGGACAGGATTAAGGTTGTTAAACTATTTCACTTTGATTGTACAGCTCTAGTACTTCAAAATCCTTCACCTTCAGGTCCATTTGACTTCGAAGCTCTCTCGACCACAGCGGTTTGGCCATCAGCGATTAGTGACTCCACTGAGAAGGCATTGGCACGAGTWGATAGAATTCCACTCGTCTGAAGGGCAAGAGACTGCATTTTAGAGCGCAAACGTTGCCTGCGATGTACGCGGTCTCGATCGATGTGTGGCATTTTGATCATTGAATTGCACCAGTGCAACAGCTACAACAGATGAAGCGATTTGGTTTTATTGCCAGGCTTGAGGAAACCGGTATATCGATTATGACAATTAACCGTGTTAATTTGATTAGTGATGTCCGCAAATCGTCACTTGGCCGCGGAAGYGTCTGTGGCATGTATCATTTGGGGTCGATCATCGATTTGTTCAAAGAGTACCGGCGATCGATTAGATTCGATTACGTTGAGTGCAAGATGCCGAGTCATCAAAGTGAAGCTTGTTATGATTTTTGATAGTCATCTATTTAGGGTGTAATGAAATTTCTGGGAGGGCGACGACAATGTTCAACTAGCACTTTCATAAACTGTTTGTGGAGTTGGCCGCACAAACTCCCTCAAGGTGGAGCTTGCCTCAAGTCTTACGCTCTCTGTTTAGAAGTAAGAAGACGAAGAGCAAAAAGAACAAGAACAAGAACAAGAACAAGAACAAGAAGAAGTAGAAGAACAAGAACAACTACAACAACAACTATACCAAGAAGACAAGAACAAGAACGAACAAGAACAAGTCGAACAAGAACACGTTACTTTAAGAACAAGAAGACCATGTTAAAAAATACAATAGCTAGAACGGTGAAGCTGAAAAGAAATCAAATATTGAAACAATTTCTCTTGTAAAACTAAGAACCCTTTTGTCACCGCGTTTCAGTTCAAAACAGTTTGTAAAACTGAATAAGCTCTTAAGAAGTTTACCTTACACACTCTCTAGCTACTATAACATGCAGTATGTAGGGATTATCCACTAGCCTTGCATTCAACAGTTTGTTTTCATAACTGTTTAGTACCAAACACACAAAGACACTTAAGAGAGACATTTTGAAAGCAGTTTCGAGTGCTTGGCGGAAGCCAACCTACACAATATGTTTTCTCTCGCAGCTTTAAATCAAAATTGAAAAGATTATSWCAGGAGTGCTGTTTATACCTTGGATGGCTTTGGGTATTTCTTTGATAACGATAACATRGTGAACCTTTTCAGTTTACGCGCTGTACTAAAAGATGGTGTCACATTCATTATTCATTATCAATAGAATTATAAATAGAATTGAAGAGAGGTTTGTTAATGGACTTTGAAAAGAGCCAATTCCCTTGTCCTGTGATACTAACAATATCGGCATTCAAATATAATCAATATTACTTTTTTAAGGACAGTCCTATTTATGAAATTATTAGTCTGTTTACCTCACAAATACAAAAGCTATGTAAATGTTACATTCGACAAAATCTAGTGGATCAAACACAAACAATTGAGCACAAAAAACAAGAAAAAGAAGAACAGAACAACAACGAAAGCGAAAATGAAATGAAAAGACATCATGAGTGTCAAAAGAAAGGGATCAGACACCCCCTGATAGGTTGYTAAACTGTATGCCACTCCCCCCTGGAATCCTCGGTATACTTTGAATTGTGCTAATGACCGGACGTTCCCTACATCATCAAGTTAAATCGTATCCAACATGTTCTCCAGAAGGTGAAAAGCCGACGAAATTCAACCTTTCTCACACTTCTTAAGCGTTAATTTGAAAACGAGGCACCAAGCCGAGTTACTTTAAATCAATCATTCCAAACTTGGTGTCAAAATCGCTCATCAAGAACTACCCRTATGTAATCGATGTAACAGTGTGGCATGTGGCTTAAAACTCGATCAGTCTGAATTGAAACCGATTTTTTTTTTGTTATCTTTGAATATCGCAAGTACGGACAGGTCAGACTTGACCCCGTTATTTAGCTCAAAAGGTGGTAGGTAAAGCCTTAGGGTTTCACTGATGTGTAGCTGGCTGTTGGGCTAGTTCTATAAGTAGTTTGTTTGTTCATTGCCTCTATCTAGTTGCCACAGTCGTTCTAAGTGATTGTTATTAATTGGGTGCGCTTTCCTGTTTCGGACCTTTTACTTCAATCGCGTCGTTAATGACTTGAAAACAAATCCTCAATCTGGGCGGGTTTTTGCCTGTACTTGCGTAACAGACTGGACAGATTCTATACAATTAGCKATACACATGCGCTGGTCAAATAAAGAGAAATGACCCCGAGTCGTGTCTATTTTGATAAACTCGTAGCCAATCGAGAAAAGACCAAATGACTTCAAATTACTGTAAGATTTCATGTCTGTATCAATGATGATGGCATTAAAAAATACAACTTAATAAGTGTCAAGTGTAGTAAACTTGGATGTTCTAGATAGCAAAGCAAAAAAAAAAATGGTATAACTTACTCAGAAAWTTGAACTAAGAGAAATGAAAGTGATAGCCCGCAAGTGGCTTGTGGTAAAGTTCGTTGTTTGTGGATCGGACACGCGTCCGCCACTGACTTCAAATGCGGTCACATTCAAGTACAAGCGCGTGGGAGCCATCGAAAAAAGACACATGTTGACATTTTGCTTTCGKTTTTCGAAATTAAAGACTTTGTCTTGTTTTATTCTATCTTATGTTTTAATACGTAAGACCGCAACTTGGTTTACGGATGCCGCAATGKTTGSCTTACGTACAGTTACGRAKTACGTATCATSACTGTAACTTTGATGGATGRCASCTGTGGGTGTGGGTCATTGMAGACGGTGACGAGCGATCAAACCGCACATCGAGTGAGCTACGATACACTTTAGTTGTTGAAGTGCTTTGTCAACGCTCAAAATACTCCAACGCAAAAACGACGGACGCATAACGTCATAAATACACTATTTTGTACAGCATTTCGATGTCTTCAACTGGTAAAAAAGTGATGACTGCATGATGAAGTTGACAGCCACAAGAGCAGGAAGGAATAGACTTCAAATATATGATTTCTCGTCCATACCTTAGGGTGATAGCAGTGGGCTTGAACGTCATTCTGATTTTCATTCTATTTTTCGCCTACACTTCTATTCTTCCTAGAGACTATTGAGAACATTTCTCCCTATAAAAGCTGAAGCACACACAATGTCCCTCGGTATTATSAATAAGTAAACTCTTTCTTTTATTTTGAGAGGGTAGCAAGTAACAGTATCAAGACTAGTAAACTTGTGGCCCTCTATATATTCACTCACACTCACTACCTCAACATTCATTATTGTACTACACGACACTCCTCACAGCTAGTTTTTGATATGTGATAAGTGATGATATAAGTGATAAGTGATGATATAAAACTCCTATAACTGCTGAATATAAGACTATGTTGATTGCATTTTTTGCATTGCAGACAAAAGAAGGTAGCCATTGTAAAGCGGTGCTCACTTGTTTCCATAACGACCACTCATGATGATTCTAACAGTCTTGACAGACGCAATTAATTTGATAAGATCATCCACATTATCTCCGCTGTCAAATAATCCCGCTACACAATTCTCGTGTTACCAGGTCAACTAAGTATTCATCACTTGTMRGGACCGTTCCAAAAACAAGTCTGATGACAAGGCTATCGCTGYACAAACTGTGAAAGGAACCCTTTTGATGTGTTATGATTGCTARCACAAGAATAGAGTATCCTTGATGGTTTATACATGTGGTGGGACAGCAGTCCGTTTAGAAGGAGGGGAGGAGACACTAGAGAAAGTAGAATTTCTCGTATATCTTTGTGGGAAAGTGACTGTTTTGTTCGTTTCTTTGTTCACTCAGAACCCGTAACTGCCCTGTAGCAGATCGTACGGAAACATTATGGGGTATAAAAACTTTGAGCTTCACGAAGTGGGAGGGAAGGGGGGCACAAAATGTCACCAGTCACAAACTTGGAATGATTGCGCATTCSAAAGTCATGGATTCCATAAAAATTTCGCAAGGATTCTGGATTCCGACTCGGTATTGGATTAAATTAGAAAACATTTCAAGTCACTAATTTGGATTCCAGATCGCTCTTGTTTTAAGGGTTCCCTTTCCATTGCCGCGGATTGTGGATTCCAGAGTCGAAWTTTTWTAGGACTCCGGYGGTAACYATGGATTATTTTGTTCCCCGCTTTGCAAAAACACATGTAAAGTTTACAGCATTGAATCCKKGTGCTTCCCTCGCCCATTCTTTTCCGCGAATWTSCTCCACCCAAATCACTAGGTATTTGAGTTATGCATTGGCGATGATAATCGGTAAAATATCACCGATCAATCTGGATATTTATTGGAACTAATTATCYCCGAGAATATCTTATTTTGGGATCGAAGTCGGCAGATCTGATAMCATCTAGCGCGATGAATACTTCACCGACAAAATGATGACTGTAGATTAWAAGTGCTAAATTTAATGAACTCTTTCTTGATCTGTGCATGATTATTTACTCTGTCGGGCCGCCTGTCTTGTGAGAATGAAGTGTAGGACTGGTAACGACTTATTWTGAGTGCGCGTTGAAATGAGATGAAATGAAATTCGGYCAAAATCGAATTATATATTTGCTCCTCGTTATGTTGGATTGAAAGATCTACAGAAGTATCACTCTTTTAAAAACGAACGGTAAACATTGATATAATACACAGGATACCCATATCCAGAAAAATAATACTACAAAACAGAAGGAAAGACGTATACGGAGTTGCTGAAGCTAAAGACGACGATACTGATCCTTCACTACCGAGAGATGTTGAAAAAGTTTGTGAAACACTTACCTAGAATGTATCAGGAAGGTTACCTTAATGTCGGCTATCTCGGGTCATCTGAAGACAATCACATGACTCACCGTATGTCAGTCTGTGTCCCTCTTGGGAGCCTTGGGAGACTGAGGGAAGTTTGAGCCTGCGTTCGCGCAATCATCGGGAAATTTAATTTCGTGTGGATTTTGTGTTAGGCTCGGGCAAGCTATGTAGGCTAGCCACATGATTAGCACTCAAGCTCTAATTTCCCTACTGCAAGCTTAATAAATAGTGCGCAATATATTGTCATAATCCGCATTAACTCATACCAAACTGCCAAATCCTCTTATCATGTTATCGTAAAAAAACGACCATTGCTCGTGCCAAATCCAMGGTAGAAAAATGTAATTCATGTCTTAATCTTTTCCGATAAAATACACTTACCCTCAAAGGTACATTAGGAGAGAGTYTAACATAGTCAAGACTGGCCATGCCTGATAAATTCCCTATAAAACATGGTAGGTATGCTCGACGGACCTTTTAGGGTCGAAATTAAAACCCTCGCCTACCTTTTAGGGTCCTAAGCTGCTGACTCCGTACCTTTAAGGGTCAATTTTCGAAGAACGGAAGAAAAAAAATGTAAAAAGTGTTAACAAAGATCCCCCGGGGATAAATTGATAAATTCCTGATCACCTTCATGAAGCATGTCTTAAAACATCATTTACACGACCATACAGGACTAGCTATAAACATTTTGTGGGTTTTTATCATATACTTTGTACTACTGTTAAAAACTACTAAAAGATTTCAAGTTTGCAACTGTCAAAAAATGTCAAAAATATTTTGGACTTTTTTGAAGAAGCCCGAGTAAATTCAATTTACACGAGCTTCTCTCCTAAAATCCTTAAACTCTGATTTCGAGGTAATTTTGCCGATTGGTTTGCTATGCATAGAATCATAGTTCTTTTTTAGCTAGCATACTGATCGGGTTGTTGGCTTTTGACAGTTTCAACTAAAGTGTTAAYTTTTTGTTTTGCAAGAAAAAAACATCGTTTTGGAGCAGTAGCAATGGTGTAATGGTTGGACTTTGTAGTTTCACGTATTTCGCCGCGTTTATACGGAAGTACGTTATGTTTGCTTTTATAAAAGTCAGTGTAAATGCAAAAATCAGTGGGTTTCCTGTGCTGACGTCATTGAAGTCACGTAATTTGAAGGCATAAAATATTCTGAACCAGTAAAAAATATCTAATGCAAAAAATAAGATTAAAATAATCATGAAAAAAGTTTATCAAAGTATGTATATGTACAAAGAAGACCGTTTTTTCTATTCAACAAAGTTTCAGACTCTTTTCTGTMTATCGCGTTGGCACGTACTTGACTAGAATACGTCACATTTCGCTTTAATATGAATATATTAGTCACGCACTGTGCATTGATAGTGACAGTTTGAACGTGAATTATAAAAGTCTTCGCTTCCCGTGCGTTGGTATAAAATAAATATTCTGGTGCATGACTGGTAAGATTGACTTGCACGACAAACAGAGATGTTTGATTTGAATTCCAACTTAAATTTGCATGTGTTTCGTGTCAGATTTCGCATACTAAGTCAAGTAGCTTGACGAGTGATGGACCCACTGGTATCAACGAAAGGAGAACCTATGATCACCCCAAACGACGTCGAAATGATGGAATTGCTGCCGGTTGAGACTCCGGTTACCTCTGTAAGCTCTCAAATACATAGAGCAGCGAAAGARGGCTCGATCCAGGTGTTAAAATRGTGTTTAGAATCGAATCCTAAGTCCAAGAACAYCATGGACGACAAAGAAATGGCGCCACTCCACTATGCCGCRCAATGCAATCGTAGTGATGCCGTCAAAGKACTTATCAAAGCCGGAGCTGATGTGAATATTCGAGGAGAAGGGAATGTTACTCCTTTGCATATTGCAGCAAGGTTAGTTTGCGTGTGTAAGAATGAAGTTTTCAATGCGCGTTGTTGTGGTTTGTTTGACCTCGTGTTCGACCTTACAAGTGTCTTTTTTATCATTCTGATTGCAAATGTTTTGTTTTTCATACTGTGATTTGATGTATACCTGTTGGTTTTACTCAATAGCATGCTAGGCGCTTAGATAAAACTGTATCGAAAACTAAAGTAATAGAAACTCATTGCTTTTGACGTGAAATCCATGAAAGTTTCAACGAAAAATTTATTGACTGAAGTGACAATCAATCGAACATGTTCAAATTATTGACGCCATTGTCACGGAATTCCTTTCAAGTGTTCTAGCCCGTACAATTTGAATTTCTTTAAATAATAAACCTAATTTCTTACTATATATTAAATCACCTTAAGTTTTTTTATGGTATAAAATCATAAAAGTTTGATTTTGTACATGATTTCACGTACACGTTAGGTCCCCACCCTGATTTCTTTGAACTTTGAACGCCATATGCCATGTACAGCAAAAATGTTATTATTTGTATCATCATTACTTAAATAGAGTTCTCTGTAATTTTCAAAATCGAAATTAAAATAGCTTTGATGTTTCAATTAYGAATATATGTTACAATTAATATAGCGAAGACTCGAATGTCGTAATATAAAACAATCGTTATTGACCGTCTAAATTTCCTTTGTTTGCTTTTGTGATTATTTGACAGATTGATGCCCACTCTTTAGCGGTARTATTGAAAATTAAAAAAAAAAAATAAATGGACGGAAAAATGAATGAATGAATGAGCAAAGGAAATATTTATTTGCTTAGACAGTAATCTAGGTCAAAGAAGTAACCAAAATAGTGCAAAAATCACAAGTGGCTAAACATGAAAGATTTTCCAAGTCGTTTCCTAAATTATAAAATATACTGCTATGTAAACAAAATTTTTGTCACAAAAATGGGACGAAAATATGAAAAAATGGGATCAAATGTACCTTGTTAATAGTTAAACTCTCTTCTTCTTCCATTTCTTCCATTCCACAGGCTTTGATATTCAATTCATAATGTACAACTTGCTTTTGATCTTCAATATATATTTCTCCTCCTACATAAAATACTGAGCTAAATGCTTTGAATATGATTTCWCCTCCTAGATACAATTCTGTCGATGCCATGGACGTGCTGTTATCCAATAATGCRGACCTGTCAATCAAATGTCCAACTGGATGCAGCCCATTCCTTGTTGCTATAAGGATGAAAAACATTAAYGTTGTAGAATATCTTCTCGACAAATACCCCAAGCTAGTTAATGACAGTGATTCACAAGGATTAACTGCACTGCATTGGGCTGCGCTAAGAGGAAGCTTTGAAGTTTGTGAACTTCTTGTTAGCCGTGGTGCTGACCTTAGTAAACGCAGCAAAGATGGAAGCACACCTTTYGTTTATGCCGCAGAGAGCACAAATAAGGAKATACTGCCTATGCTGCTCTATAATGGTAAYACCTTGGTCTTATTATGTGCTATATAAATGTGTTTTCATTCTCTAGTGATTAAAATAATTTTGAACAGAATTATTACAGAAAAATTTTTGCATTCTTACCTTGAGGTTTCAAAGTTTATTTGGATGTTCATCTTTTCTGTTCAGGGGGCAAAGTTTTTATACAAATTATTGCTATTGTTCTGTATTACACTTACAGAGACAAAAAAATTTCAAAAATCCACAAGATTTCTAGAAACGGTTTAGTGTAGAAGCAATCAATGTACACTCCACCCCCTAGCCTCAGAAAAAGATGAAATCCAAATGAACCTTGAAGTCACKAAAGCAACACTTTCTGATTTTTTCTTCTTTCAGCTGAAAAAAGAAAATTTAACATGAATGACTTAATAAATGGACTTGAAAGAGATACCACAACACCATTGCTCTCCGCAATACTTGCACACAACGTCAATGCTGCACAGCTTCTCTTAGACAAAGGAGCATCTGTTAACTGTATTAGGATTAACAGGAGCACGCCATTACACATGGCCGCCACCAATGGTGATGATAAGATTGTCAAGCTCCTTTTAAGCAAGGGTGCAAGGATTGACAGTAAGGATTCACAGGGAAAGACACCCCTTCACAAGTAAGCTTACTAATAAATTGTGGAAACTAGTGGTAAATTAGTGTGAGCTACCTGGACATAGAAACAGTTGTGTAAAAAGATAAATTTAACACCGTAAAAAAATAGGTGAAACAACTGACGTTTTGGATGTTAATCCTTCTTTGGAGTAAAGAAATGAAGGATTAACATCTGAACAATCAGTAAGCTGTTTCACCTATTTTTTACGGTGTTAAATTTATCTTTTTACACTGCTGTTCCTAATAAATGGTCTCTCCTGCATTGTTTTCAAAAGAATTGGCACTTATTTTTAGGAGATTCTAATCAATTACTTTGCCCAGGTGGCAGCTTTTTGCCCAAGTAGTTGCAATATTCAAATTGTTATTATATAACTGTACTGTACTTAGATATATTTTCTGCCAGGGCTGCGGCAATGGGTTGTCTCTCAGTCATACGACTACTAGTGGAAAACAACTCCAACATTGAAGAACTAGACAACGATGGAAGAACTCCATTATTGAATGCTGTATCGACAGGTCAGAGCTTTGCCGTCAAGTTACTGGTCACCCTTGGAGCTGACATCAAAGCATGTGACAATGACATGCGAACTGGGCTCCATCTCAGTGCTATTGACCAGCAGTTCCTCATTGCACATATGGTGATGAATTCTGACAAGAAGATATTACAAAGCATGCCAGACTTTCAAGAGAGAATTCCCCTTCACTACGCAGCTCTTGGTGAAGATATTAGGGTAAGATGGAGTAGGAGGGCAGGGGCGGATCCAGGATTTTACTCAGGGAGGGGTGCGGGGCTCTCAGTAGGGGGTACACCCCACAAAAATCATTACCATGAGGATACAAAATAAGGAAAGTATTGAAGGATGCAGATCTCAGGAGGGGGAGCGCACCCCCTGTAACCACCAACTGGATCCGCCCCACCCACTGGATCCGCCCCTGACGGGTGCTGTTAATATTATATACCAGGGCAAAAAATATTGGCATCTCAAGAAGCTCAAGTTTCACTGATCAAAGTATATAATGTCTGTTCACACAGATGACTGGAAATTGAGTTTTTCTTCAAACTTTGAGGAATATATTTTTATTTTATACAAGTATTTTTGATTTGTGGGCATTTTTGACTTACCATAGGTGATTGTTTGGTCTTCAGGCAAGAACTGAAAATTATAATAACAACTYTTTTTTCCAGATTCTTCAAACCCTAATTGAAAATGGCAGTAACTGTTGRTATAAAGATTTACACAGGGCAACTCCTTTACATCTTGCTGCTGAAGAAGGGATGGCAGAACATGTGGAATTGCTGGTTAAAGCTGCTCCTTCTGTTGTCAATGAACYTGATGTTAATGGCTTCACTSCACTYCATCTTGCTGCACTCAACAAGAGATGGTAATCAAAATAATGTGTATTAAAGTTGTGACTATGATAATGTTTGTGATAACTCAAGGTAATAGTTTATACTCAAACTAACAGTCTGTATTCTCTCTAAAGGGAAACCTGTGACACCTTGCTGAAACTGGGTGCTCAGGTMGATGCACTTGACTCCAACTTCCAGACTCCACTTTTCCAGGCAAGCATTTCTGGAAATGTTGAGCTGATAGAACTTCTCCTAAATCACCATGCCAACCTGGACCATACTGATGCAAATGGCAATACTGCACTACATGTCGC